ACAACTTGAAAGTTAACACTAACTTATATTCCTCAGTGAAAGTCTGTCCTTTATGGGTAAAATACTGAATGCTTCACAAAAGAATTGTTACAAACAATCCTGTAGCAGTATGAAGAGGTATGTCAGATGACAAAGCAAGCAATGCCTTTTTTTTTTACTTTTTCTGAGAGCCCAGAGATTAAAGTTGTACTGTTTGCATCAGGGTAACAACAGCTGAAGGGTCTAAAATTTGCATTAGCAAGTGCTTTGGGTTGTTTTCCTTTCTTCCTTAGAGGAAACCAAGCTGTGCTTTTCTCTTCCCAAAGAGACAACTGTTTTCAGATCGTGCAAATTGCTTTTTCCCAAAAAAATCGTTTTTTCCCAAAAAAACAACTGCTTTCAGACCGTGCAAATCGCCTGCAATACACAGCTAACTCTCGATTATTATTGTCATTCCCATGTCCCTAAGCACCACCAGGGCGTGAGCAAGGAAGTGAACTAGATCAACAGTTGACAGAAATCTGTGGAAAATCCTTCCTAGGAAAAGAACCTGTGTATATTCGATAAGAGACAGGGCAGGGTTTGGCAGGACACACTTGGTTCCAAGCTGCTAAATACAATAACTCCATCAGCAGCCCCAGGAGCTCAGCCTCTACCACCAGCCCCAATATTAACTACAAATATGGTTGCCATCTGGTGGCTAACACAGAATGAAGTTTAGCATCTGTGATGAGTTCAAGGTGGACCAGATTCCCTGGCCTGTCCCCTCTGGAAGAACAGTAGAATAAAGAAAACCACAGATGTGGCCATGCTCACTCTTATGTACAGAGCGAAGCCAGGACCTTGCTGCTGCAGTTCCATACTGGATCTGGTATGATCCATACTGGATCACTGGGGTTTTTTACAAGCAGTCGGACATGTTCAAGGGATGCTCCTAGTCTCAGCAAATGAGCTAAAAGTAGTGGATGCAGCATGGGCAGCATCAAATCCAAGTGGTTTGTGCTGCCATTCTGACCCAGCAGCGTTTCTGAGCGGTGTCAGAGATCGGTGCAAGGCTCAAGCTAGCACCGCATTTAATCCCAACTCTCCTAGATTAAATCTAGCTGCTAAAGATAACTCCCAGGGAACACGAGCAGCAGTGGGCAGACCTGCTCGCCCGCCCTCCCTCCGAGATGCACCAGTCCTTATTCAGTCAATGTCATCTCACAGCAAACCACTGAAAACCAAGACGAGCGTGCCTGCATTAAAAGCAGCTGATCAATGTCCCTGCGTAAAACGCCCGATAATCCCTGCACAGAGCTGGCATCTGGCATCAGATGCGGCATGCCAGAGAGATGAACAGGAAAAGTATCCATTGCATGTTCCTGGCACCTTCTGCTGGCACACGGGTGGGCGGAGAGCAGCGAAAGGGCTCCCGGGATTCAAAAATCCCCCCCTCTCAGCAGATCGGCACAATCTTTAAAGGCCGTATGGCTTCGGCGGAGCCACCATTCCAAAATGAGGAGTTCAAGGTCAGTACAGCAAGCAGCGACTATCACGCGATGCTGCTGGAAGATAAGGGGCAAGGATCCATCTCCTTTCCCTCACCATCTTTGAGGTTACGCATTTAGCGCTATGGCAAAATAGAGAACCGCTGTCGAAAATGCGGCATAAAGCACGACCTAAAAGCCACAAGGAAAGGTCTCCTCCTGTTGAAACAATAAGCACCCGCGGATCCGACAGGAGCGTGCGGCGCTCCGTGCTCCCCGGGCCGAGCCGATGCCATGTTTCCGCAGGCGGACGGGGAACCCGCACCGCTCCGACAGGGATCCTCGGCATGCTCAGGATGCACAGGGGCCCCAGTTCCGCAGGCAGGGAAGGCAGCTGCCACCCCCCGCAAGCGCCCACCGCCAGGCGCATCCCTGCTCCGGGCAGGGCTGTCATCCCCGGTACCCGCGTCCCCCGCTGCCAGCCCCGCATCCCGGGGATGCCCCCCTTCTCCCCTACCTTCTCCTGCGCCCGGGTCAGCTTCTTCTGGACGTTGCTGGCGATTTTCCCGGCTGTGACCCCCTTGCTGCCCAGCTCGGCCATCTTGCCTCCTCTTTTTAACGGGCTGCGAGCGGCGGAGCGGCAGGAAGGGGGGGAAAACCCGGCGGGCAGGCGATGGCCCCGACCGTCACCGCCGCCCGCCCGCCGCCTTTTAAAGGGATAGCGCTGCCTTAAAGGGACAGCGATGGGGGCAGGTTTTGGACGGATTTCCCCCACCCTGCCTCCTGCAGCTCCCTGCCGCCGCCTGTCCCAGAGGAAGCCAACAGGGTGGGAAACGCCTGGGAAGCATCGCAAGGGATTAATCTTAGGTGGTGGAATGAGTTTGCTGCCGTCTTTCATCCCGCAGCAAAGCGACGCTCTTGTTTTAAGAGATCTGTACCACTAGTTGTTATCGCTGATTGTTCAAATCCATAGGACAAAGGTACATCTCAAATAACTCCTAGATCTTCACAAGCACAACATTACTCCTGGATCTTGACAAGTTTAATTCCTTAAGGAAGGGCATCTAGAAGTGAATAAACCCCTAATTGTAAAAGGTGACATGAAATTTCAGAGTCCAACCTTTAATCATAGAATTATTAAGGCTGGAAAAGCCCTCTCATATAATTAAGTCCAACCGTTATCTCGGCATCATTGTGTTCACCAGTAAACCATACCCCTAAATACCACATTCCCCCACTCTTTGAACACTTCTAGGGATGGTGATTTTGCCATATCCCTGGGCAGCATATTCTAATGCCTGACCACCATTTCAGTGAAGAAATTTTCCCCAATATCCAATCTAAACCTCCTACAGCACATCCTGAAGCCATTTCTGCTAGTTCTGTCAAGTGTTACCTGGGAAAAGAGAACAACCTCCACCTTACTACAATTTTTTTTCAGGTGAGTACAGAGAATGACAACCTTGCAGTTGAGACAACCACAATACACAGAGTATCACCATACAATTTCAGAAGGCTTCAACCCATACAGAGTAATACTTTACCTCATCAGAAGGCTTTGAGTATCTTCCCTTCTTGTTCTTTAGCCCAATGTTTTATATTCTTCATCTTACATGCATTGCACCTGAGTGCCCTCTGTTCCCTTTGGTGGTTGGTCAGTGCCCCTGGGCACTCCATGGCTCATTGCTGTCAGTGCTGCTCTCCTGCTTCTCACAGCTGAGCCCTCTGGGGTGAGGCTGGGCCACAGCCCCACCCCAATCACCCCAAACTGTGTGCCTACATTATGAGGTCTCCCCTGACACTCCTTTCCTCCAGGCTGAATCCTTCCAGCTCCCTCAGCTGTTCCTCATGGGACTTGTGCTCCCGACCTTTCACTAGCTTTATTCCCCTTCTGTGGACCCACTCCAGCACTTCAATGTCTTTCCTGAATTGTGTGCCCACAAAACTGAACACAGGATTTGGGGTGTGCCCTCACCAGTGCCAGGTACAGGGAGATGATCACTGCCTGGGTGCTGGTGGCCACACTGATTCCATTTCTGATGCCATTGGCCTTCTGGGCCACCTGGCTTTGGTTTTGCTTTGCTAAATCTACTGGGCAAATACCTTTTGTGAAACTTTATTCCTTTACACGTCAGGACAGAGTTCTGTTTCCTGGAATACAGGAAGCCACCTCAGTGCTGTTATTCACATCCTAATACTCAGCCCCCAGCCTTCCCTCAGTACCACACACCAGCGCCTGGGAGAGTGGAGGGGAAGCTTCCTTCCTTCCTTCCTTCCTATCCTGCTTCTGCACACTCATCCCAGTTCTTTGTGGGAGCTTGGGACCATGTGCCCTCAGTACCCAGTACAGTACCAACCAATCCAGTGCTCTGCAGGAAATTGAGATGTATAACATTTACCAATATATTTACCTTTATTTAAGATGGAAACATCTATTTTAATTCAATGATGGGCCCGAAACCTCCATGTGCCCCCAGACCATTTCACACAGTCATTATTTTTCCAGATGAAGATTGTTATCTTCAGTTTCACACACACAGGAATAGTGTAGCACACACTACTGCAATGTAAAGCAACAGATAAATGTTGAAGGTGATAACTTAAGAGAGCTAGGCCAGGTCTTCCATATATGTCATTTATTGTTTCCCATTTCTGCTTCAGTACTATTTCTGTTCATTCAGAACAGAAAATAAAAATAAAAATAATTGTCTTGCCAGAGCCCTTAGAAACTGTGAGCAGAGAAGCTGTCAACACCTCTTTGTAAGGCTTCATGAAACAGTGCCTCTGCGTTTCTTGCGTGTTTTGACAATGGCTTTTTTTAATGACAAAACCTTCATTCAGAATCTAGTTTAAATCCATAGTATACTTCAATTATGTTAGTAGACATACTATTCCCATTTAATAAAATATTAGGGCACATGTTGCTGTTGTGTGCAAGAAAACTGCAGTGATACTGGACGTACTCCGTGTGTGACTACCCATGATGCCAACCTGTACTGCAAACTGCAAATTTATTCAATTCCTTCCTGGTTTTACATTTAGTATTCATCTAGCTGTATGATTAGCATTTACTATTAATTAAGTATTCGATTTCTGTAGTATTTGTCCCAAATGCATCTGATTTTTTCCATAATTTCAGCCTTACTAGTTAATTTCATATTACCTTTCTTCTTGGGTATCATCTGTAATTTTTCTCTCACCCCCACCTCCTCCGCCTTAGCTGAGCTTTTAACGTTGAAAGATGCACATGTGGTTAAGCATTTGTAAGATCACGTTTAAAAGAGCAGATGTTTCAGGGTCAGAACACATTCCTCTCCACCCTACCTCATATATTTGCTTCTCTGCTTAGGTCTTTTCTTCAGTGGAACTGGTTTTGAGGGGATTTTTGCCTGATTAGTCCACAGCAAACATCAGACAACTGTGAAACAAAAGCAGCCAGACACGAATGTTCACCACAATGAAAAATGATGACAAACTGTGTACACTTTAAAAGCTGGGCTTAACAGCAAGTATCCACCTCTCAGCATGAGTCATTTCCCAGTTATTTCTGCACTTGATTGGATCAGCACCAAAGCTGCAAAGCATTTGCTGGGCTCCAGGTGTGTTGCAAAAGGTTCTCCCCTGGCATGACCCACATATTATGAGTGGCCATGCAACTGAATGACCAGGTAAGCCATTTCAGCCAGGTCGTATATGCAGGAGGCTGTTGCTTTGTGAACAAGAAAGGCTTCAGTCTCATATCTATCCACCATTGTTCTGCTCTCAAGCTTACTGTGCTTTACAAGCTTATAAATGTAAGCAATTTCAATTGGACTGCAGCGCAATTATGTAGTAAGAAACATACAGGCTAGTAACTTTATGTTTTTATATTTGTTTATGCTTTCTATCATCATGTGACAGAGATGTCAAGCCTTTTGGAAGCCATTAGTGACAGATTCTGCACAGCTGGAGTTAAAAGAAATCAAACTTAATGCTTACAAGTATTACCTGCAACGACATTAAGTCCAATATATGCATAGCTGTCTAATCTATTCTAACCATGGACCCCAGAGCACTTCATTTTGCCTGACTGTAACCAGCTAAACATATTTAATTTCAGCTGAGTCACCTTGGCTGCTTTTCTAGTCAAAAGATAGAAATCCATATCTCCAAAGGTGAGGAAAGGTAAACCAGAAAGAAAAACCCTTCTCCCTGAGCTCCAGAGGGAGATTAGCTGGATAGCTTAAATAGCTGAAGTTAAGAAAACCAGATGGGTTATGAAACCCACCTGTAGTCCATCTCCCTGGTGACAGGATGACTCATTGCCACAGTTCAGAGGGAAGAAGCAAAAATCTGTCAAGCACTCCAGCACAAACAGGAATATTTAACACGCACATACCCACCACTGCTTTTTTATGGCTCTCTTAATTGATTAATGCTCTAGTCAATAATAACTATGTTAGACCTCAGCCCCATAAGTGCATTTCACTTCTCAGTTGTCTCATTAAAGGGAGATGAACTGTTCACCTGCTTACAATTAAACATATGTTTAAATGCTCGCTGGCTTGGAGTCTATTATTTTGTAGCTTAGGTACAATTTATTCCCTTCGTTGCACAAATTGTTGTTCCAGCTCCTTTTTTCATTATTATTAGTATTCCTGTTTTGCCATTTTTGTCCATCTGGGAGCAGGATGTTTTCTTCATGATTAGAGGAGGGATTGCAAAGAGTGATTTCAGCAAGGTATCCATTGACATATATTTTTTTTTCTGTCTTTAACCTTTTAATTGTAGTTTGTGTGTTTAAAACTACAAGCAGTGACAATCAAAATCTTCCCTGCTACTGATGGCAAAATCTTTCATAATACAATTTGTTTAAATAAAATAATTCTAAAATTACTGCGATAGTGCTTTCTACTATTCATGGAATTAGAAGTATGTATTCTCTGTACCAGTTACAAAGAAGATTAAAAGCAGTTAAATTGATTTTTGTTTCTTTTCCACAAGGACTTCTGATTTTAAGTGTATAATTACAGTTTTTAGAAAAATATTTAGTAGAGTTCAGTTAATTAAATGTTTATGGAAAATAGAAATATATCATCATTGAATTCTTTAAATTCTTATATTTATACTAAATAATGTTTGCAGTAAACTATTTGAAGAACTCTAAAGCCATTTACCCCAATACTCATATGACGCAAAATGTGTCTATTTCAATCACAGTTTCTTGTAGCATTCCAAGCTGAAGTTCAGATATTGAACAACCTGGTTGTTTGGATCTGTAATTTTGCTCTAACTCTGGCTGTAGCACTGCAGGTCAGTTGGCCTCACTCCCTGCCAGCTCCACTCTCTGGCTTTAGTGATGTCAGTGGAAGGACTGACTTGAGACAGTAAATCCAACATCTTGAAAACAACAAAATGCACTAAATATATTATGTAACCAAATCTAATCAAGTTCTAACTCTAACCTTGCCCACCTTTTTCTTTGCATTGCAGATCATGCATTCTTCTGGGACAGCATTCCAGAAGAGCTTGCAAAGGTGATTTCTGTCTTTTCTTTTAACTTGATAACATTGTCAGGGATAATTTGGTTATCAATTTCACCATTATCTAGTTTGCCTTAGAATTCCTTTCTGACTGACTATATTCTCTTGCAAACTCTCCTTTTGTTCTCCAACAGAAAGGTGCAGGGAAGAATCAGGAAGTTTCTGCCATAAAATTAATAGATAAGAACTTGCTGATTACATGTTCTGTCCTTTAAAACAAGAGCAACATGAAAGAACTTTGATTTAAAAATAGTGTCAGAAGGTGTTCTCTCCCACATCTTTCAGACTCTCAATTCCTGTTGAATCTCTCCATTATCTTTTATGAGAAACAGAAGATGATACCAAACTTACTCTTCTCATGCTCTAAGCACACACACACACACAAAAAAAAAAAAAAAAAAAAAAAAAAAAAAAAAAACCCAAAAAAAACCACAAACAAATACTGTAGCACAGGGAAGGCACCAAAGCTGAGAGCTTTGCCTGTCTAGTCCAGACTCACCTGTGCAGAAATAGATGGAGGCAGGAAATAAAATGGCATTAAAACTTTGTCTCATGTCTCACTGAAGACTGTCCTGTGATTGCAAGCTTGGTTGAATTCTAAGGAATTATGTGGTGCTCGTGATGTGCCCTACTGGGACTTTGGCAGATTTTTCACAATTTCAAAATTCAGAGTGTATTTCTTTTCCATCCACATATCTGTTTGGGTGCTTCATGCACATGCATGTAACTATTTTTTTTTCTCTGCCTGAGTGGATTTAGCTATTACAAAGTGATCTTTGGCCCTGAATTTGTGACAGATTAGCTACCCTTCACTATTAAATGAAGTGAGTAAAGAATGGCAATGGTCTGTAAGCTTTGCACAAATATATTTCCAAGAAGCTTATCAAAATTTCTGTGTACCCTATGGTGCAGGAAAATAAGGGATTTAGCAAATATGAAATAATTTTGATTTTACTTTTTCATTATCATCAGTCAGCAAGGAACAGGCAAATTAATCATGTGCCTCCTATGGAAAATATTCTGAGAATTCTGGAAGCCTTCAACTATTTATTAAAGTATCTAAAAAATCAGAAACAATTATATACTCAAATGGACAGGCCAGTTTATCCCCTTCTATAGCTACAGTAGAACACATGGGCCAACTGGTGGAATCACACAAAGGATATTATATCACCAGGATACCACATCAATAGTACAAACTGTCACTGAAATGCAGGAGGTATTTGATATTTTCTATCAATACACATCCACAAGGTTCCACACTTGTGATAACCATGCCAGGTGGATTATGTAATGTAACTGTTGTCCCAGTTGCAATGTGTTCCTCCTTGGTTCCCTTTGTCAAGAGCCTCATTTTATTTCCTTGGCAACAAAATAGAATGACTTATTCACTGCACATTACTTACAAGAGCCATCTCTCCTTCTATTATTGCAAGCTTGCTATCAATTCAAATATTTGCAGTTTTCAGAATTATCCAACTCTTTACTTTTGAGGTTTGGGATTTGATTTTTCAGAAAATAAGGATGGTAACTTTCCAGCCTGGGCAAATCCTGTTTTCTGCACATATCTAATAAAACATTGCATACAATTTATTCTATTTAATAATTACTGACATTTATAAGAATGTTTTCCTAGACCTGGATCATAAGAAAATGCAACACAGAAAAATGTAAAAAAATTATTCTTACCTGTAACAACTCAGCCATTTCCAGAGCTCTATCAACTCGGTAAAAAGGCTTTCATAAAGATTCAGCAAAAAACAGTGAAGGCCTCAAATAGTTAGAATTAGTTAGAATTGTTATATTTCTCTTCCCAAATTATGTGATATTTTAATATATCATTCAATGCACTTACATCTTCAAGTTTACCTACCAAATTTAGCAGAGAACATTCACAGTCTTCTCTACAGTTTAATAAGTCAAAGCCATGTGTATACAGATACCAGGGTCATCAGCATATAGAAGAACAAACATAAATTTCAAGCTAAATTTCTGCTTTGTTTCCAAACTATATTTTGAAATAAGGCAACACTACCAGATAAATGAACCAAATGTAGTAAATTGTGAAGAATTTTCTTAACATGTCACTCACTGTACAAGTGATGGAAATACATGTTATTTCTACTACTGTACTCTGAAAGCCAAAGCACAAGTCTGGAAATGTTCCAGCCTCTGAGCATCTTTACTAGGAATATTTCAATACAGGATGTTCCCTCAAAACCCCACCTTTTCGAATCACATAAATAAGTGTCCAGACAGGAAAAAAAAGTCAAGATCTGAATCACAAAACCTGAAAACCAAAGAAGGGCAGGGGGAATAAAGCTATCATTTCAACTATTTTCAATTATTATAATTTTCAATTATTTTAAGGAATTCACAGCCTTGAGTCACAACCTAAGGAAAGATAAAATGTGACACTTGGACATGGAGGTAAAGATAAATTTATTATATATATTGCAGAAATGTGCTGCTTGTAAAACAAGCTTCCAGAAACTGGTAGCAAATAAAAACCCAAAACACAACTCTTAACAGAGAGCAGTATTTTTGGTCTACATAAGGAAAAGAGCCGATGTTTGCACTCCGGGTCCTGTGGCCCTGAGCTGGAAGCTGACTGCACAAAATCCGAACATCGAAGGATAAGTCCCAGACAGGAGCTGCCCTCACCTCATACTTGTGCTGCCCTGAGAATCCCAGGGGAGCCCTACAAACTGACATCAGGAACCTGGACTGGCAAGTTTTCTTTCAGTAATTACAAGCAGTACTCCTGCATTCCAATGTGACCCAGAATCATGACAGATTAAAACATTAAACAAACCTGCATTTGCTAATGAAGCTTTGTCACTCAAGATGACCCAGTCCCAGAAGATGCAGAAAGAGGAATTCAACACAATGAAACTGTTCAGTGTGGACCCAAAATTTACAGCCTTGAAAACATACAAACATTATAGAAATCTGCTCTGATGGAGCAGCATGGCTGTATTAGATCTTTCCTGCCTCAATTTAATCTGACATAACCAGTGGATGTTTAAGTGTAGCCATTCCCTGCAGAGGTGATGATTGATCTCTGCATCACAGGATGAGTTAGAAAGCTTTGCCAGCTGAGATTTATGTCTCAGAAATCTGCAAAGTTGGGATGTTTTGTAACCATTTAAAAAATACAATGTGTGATAGAGGTGAGACAAATGGCTGCCCACACTTTCTGGAGCTGATATCTGTTTATATTGCAAAACTATGCTGACTAGCAACCAGTGAATGATTATTTCTTGGATGAATTTGGTGCCTTCATTCTTTGTGAAAAGAAATGCATGTTATTTCATACAAGTTCATCTGAAAATAATAGGTGTTTGATAAAGTTATCACTCTTACTATGTATTTATTATTTATGAATTTGTGACTATAAAAGAAGCATCTATAAATGTGATAGGGAAATACTGATTGCCTTTTCAGTGGTATCTTCTTAGATGAAGATTTTTTGCCAAGTCCCTCCAGATATGTGTCACTGATTCCCTGCATACCTTTCTGATTCTCTAATCCACTAGGCTTAATGCTTCCTTTTTGCATCTGGGATGAGACTGTCGCTGCATTATTTAGTCTTCAAACAAATTCAAGTGTTCGCCCCTGTCTGCATAAAGGAGACAAAGAACTTCACGAGTTGAGCTGCTGAAAGTAAGAAAGGCTTGTCTAAATGTTTCTTATCCCATACTTAACTGTAGTGGCAAGCATCCTCTTGCAGTCATTTATCCCTTAGACATTTCTTTCCAAAATCCCTGACTCCAGCCTTCCTTTTGTCTGAGTAAAGTGGGCTGCTTCAGTGAGTTTACACTTCAGTGTAATTGTTTCCCAACTAGATAAACATTTGACAGCTAACACTGTTTCAAACATTGCCAAAATGGGTACAACACTCTCTAAATGGTGTCAGTTGATCTCCTGTTTATGCAATGTTTACTGCAATAGTGTCTGAAACACACAAATATCCCCCTCAGTTATTTCCTGTCTCCTTTACTCTTATCTCACCTAGACTGTGATCTCTTCAGAGTAAGAACTGGCTTTCTTTTGAATTTTGCTTGATAACAGGTAGAGTGCCAAAGCTCAATGATTAACAGACTGTTAAAGACAAATCTCAGCAGGAGCCATACAGGGCTGCAAAGGCTGGATTTTCTCTAACAAAACTTTTCCCATACATATGAAACTTTGGAAGTTCTCTAATTTTTTTCCACATGCAAATTCCCATTTTGAGCAAGGATATGCAAAAGATGAACAGAAATTGAGAATGTTTTCATGTACAGGGGCTAAGAGACTTTGTCAAACAAGTGTAACCAAACTTCTTTATCTTTAAGAAGCCATAATAAGTGCATTGCTCTTAGCTATATATATATATTTTCCCCCATAGATACATATTCCCAGACTTTCACTAAGGAATACTATAAAGGCAGCACCACCTAGTGGTACCAAAACCACATTTTCAGTGGTTTCCTGAAAATCATTTTGGAAGCACAGGGGAAACTCAGCTGAAATTATTTTTGAAATACCCCATGACACTTACATGTTTTGGTCTTTTTTTTTTTTTTTTTTTTTTTTCCCAGCAAGAACATGAATAAATATTTGCAAGCTCTTAATGTATATGTATATGTATATGTATATGTATATGTATATGTATATGTATATGTATATGTATATGTATATGTATATGTATATGTATATGTATATGTATATGTATATGTATATGTATATGTATATGTATATGTATATACTTGGTTTCTGGTTTAAGTACTCTTTGAAAAGGAAAAAGGGAAGTGAACATGTGTATTAATCACATTGGACAAAATATTTTATATATATATATATATATATAAAATGCTTTTAAAAGATCAGGTACCAAAATAATTACTACTCACACCTTTCCATCCAATTTTATTGTGTAAGGTTTAGATGAAAACCTACACAGGAATAAGAAATACCTGGCAACTTTGGACCACTTGCCAAATATTTTCCAGCACACATTCCAGGGAACTGTAACTTATCTTGCTTCAATAAATATAGTCTGTGACAGAGGTGCTCACTTCCAAAAATCAGAAGGGTCCAATGTGTAAGACCAGTTGTCCTCCCCAAAGATGGTATTGGCATAAGTATTTACATCTGTGCTCAGTAGCTGTACAGTGCTGGGACTACCACTTGGTAGCACTTTAGATCATCCTTCCATCAGCTTTTCATTTGCCCCTGTAAATCCTCTATTGACACTTCTGTGACACTTCAGGAGGTGAGAAACCTTCAGATGCATCTGCATCCATGGGAGCCTGCCAGCATAAAACAACCATTGTTCTGAACACCGAGAATCCGTGGTTTGTTGCAGCCCTTCCGAGTCTTTCTCTAGGCATGCACTGGCAAAGTTTGGCATTACCAAAGATATAAATCTCTAGTAATTCTATGAAATTATATGGTAACATGTTTTAAAGTTACAAACATTATGTGACAACACAGCATAGGAAGGAAAAACCTCAGTGATCAAAACGGGTAGTGGCCTTTTTTGTTTTATACAGTACAAACAGTACACATCAGGCACCCAAATGACTCCTGCCTCATCCCTTTTCTCAGCCTGCCCCATCCTCCATGCAGCCCACACCCCTCCGCTTCCTGAAGTGGCACCCAGTGTGGTATTTGGTACAGCCACAAAGCCTCCACTCAGTGTGGCTTCCCCTCTCCTCCCTTCCCCGTCCCGAGTACCAGCACAGCTCTTCTGTTCCTAGCTCCAAACACACCCCAGCGCTTCTCTCCTGTTCACAGCCGCCGGGCATCCTACTCTCCCTCTTCACAGCCTCCTCGCAGCTGGGGTATTTAAGCTCCTAAGTTTCATTCACCACTGGCATACAATGTTGCTGGTGTTGTGACTATTTCACCACTGACCTCATAGATTCCTTCCTTGCCTACAAGAGAGCATGGAAAAACAGAAAACAAACTGACTGAATAGAGTAATTCTAGTTAAATGCTTTTTAAAATTCTTTTTACCATGCTTTATCATTTCATGGTTGGGGATATTTTTTCTAGTCTTCCCCATGTCTCACAATGACTTTATTCTAAACTCTTATTATCCCAATAGTTTGAAACCTTCCACACCAGTTTATTTATTCATTGTTACTGGTGATACTTGTTTTGAACAGGCATTGTCCTTAACCTTAAGGAGTAAAGAGCTTAACCTGAAAGTATTTGAAGAGAAGATTTATGTCCTCTTAAAATATTCACTTTTCTAGACTAATTACTTGAACTTTTTGAGAATAAGTTTAGTCTCTTGCAGACATCCATGTTTCCACTACCTGTTATCTAATCCAACTGGAAAGAGCAAAATCAATTCAGCATTTTTGTGTCCAACAAAACAAGTTCTCCTAAGCCCATGGTTACATAGCTTCCAGATGTGCCAGTGCTTGATCTGCCAGCAAACCACAGGGAGGCAGAGCAAAAAACATTGTATTATAACCCTTTCTCCACTCACAGAAACTATTAACCTCATATTCTTAGTGTATCCTCATCTGTCCAAATCAAACTCCACCTCTCTTGAACACTTAAGCACACTTGTCATACTTGACAAGATGTCTGATAGAAGTTGGGGAAGAATAGGTCAGATTGCACCTCATATATTGTAGGCAGTATTTCTCATTATTCCCACATACTTGCACTTTGTAGTCACCTGTGATTATCTAGGCCTTCCTCCACATATTACATTTTCAAGTGGTGAGCGCCACGAACAAATTATTTTTATTTCCTACATACATATATTTTATTATTAAATTCCAGCCCATTTCTATTACATTCTGGATTGTTTTTGTTATTGTTTTGGTTTGATTTTCACACTTTATGCCTTTTTTATTTATATCTTTAATACTCTTCTGTGTATTAAGCAATTAATCAAAACAGTAACATTAGAATCAATCCTTGGGTATTTCTTGGATAACTTTGCCAGTATCTTTCCTCTACAATGACAGTACTCTTAACATAATGTTATCTCCCCTTTTGCCAAGTCATTACACACCTTAAATTCTTGTATGAATCCCCCTCTTTTCTAGTTGAACTATTAATTTTCCATGGAGTAGTGAATCTTTCAGATCAATGCAACAAGTTAAAGACTTTAGGCTGCTAAAGAAAAATGCAAATATAAATAGTAATTAAAGTAAGAACAAAGACTTGTAAATTCTATATAAATATTTTATTATGTATAAAAGACAACTTACATGGATAGGTGCTCTATTAGAACAAATACTGGCTGTTTTCATTAAAAGATTCAAATGCTATAAAAAGCATTTTAGAATGTCTCTTCCATCTTCTGCACTGACATTTTACTTAAGGACCCATACCAAGCAGCAAATGTACTGCAACATAGCAGTGGCTGGTGTTTCTAATGATGTTATGACAGAGGAAAAGGAAGGCACCATATGGCATCCAAATTTGGATTCAAGGCAGGAGCTCCTTGTCTCCAAGTCAACAAAACCAGGCAGAGTTATGGAGTCAAATACTCAGTCCATAGACTTTTAAACAGATTTTGCAAAACATCTCCTTTGGGATGTCAGCTGGCTCTGGAAAATACAAATTTCTTCATTGAAAATAACAATGGGAAAGAAAAAAGAACCAACAAAACCAAGAAAGATGGAATAATTGAAAGCCCTGGAAAAATCAGAAGGCAGGTTTGTTCAAGGAAAATACTCCCAATAGGATACCTAGTTTTCTTACAGTACACATATATGGTCAACACAAGAATAACATTTTAAAGTCCTTATGTAAGCATTTAATCCTCCCATAGGTCAGATGAATTTTCTTTAGTGTTATTATTTTGTATAGGAGATCCATGCAAAGGAGATTTTGGTTCTCTTTGCTCTAAACCTTGAAAAGGCACCACAAAAAGGAATCAAAATACTATAACTGTTTGATAGTAGTAGCTAGGTAGCAAGGTGAAATTTCATGTACACCATTAAAACTACAGTGTTATTTCATTTCTAACCTGTCTTTGTCTTCCAAAGGCTAGACAAAGAAAAATTTTGTAATTTTTTTTAAAAATTGCAAAAGTTTCGCTAAGTTTATTTAGCTGAAATATTTATGATTGTCAGTATGTAAACTACCTCCCAAAAAACAGTCAGAGCCTGACATGTAAACAGTTAACTATACATAATATGTATCATATTAGGATAGCAGGTTTGAGCATTGCTCAAGGCATAACGTGGACACACATTTCTCTCAAAAATGGGAATGTAAGGTTAGTGCAGTAATACTAATGTTATCCAAAGTATCGTGCAAGGGAGAGTTTTCTGTTGGCTGTCATAGGAAAAGTAATAATAATTAAAAAAACACAACCAAACAAACAAAACAACCCCCAAAAGACCAAACCCAAACTCCCAGGTGTCCACTTTTTCTGTTAGGCACTAGACAGTAAAAGAACTTCTCTGAATACTTCAGTAGTCACATTTCCATCCTACAGAACTCTGTATTTGCCTATGGGTTCAGCAAGTTAAAATGGGAAGCTTCCAGTTCTTACTGCTGAAGAACAATAAAACTTACTGTTTCCAGTTCTTACTGTTGAAGAACAGTATAAAGATAAAAGTAGTATTTTAATTAAATGATAAAAATGTAACAATGACTTTCTTTTAATATTTACATTTGGATTTGGCATATTAGCTAGAACAATGAAAGTGGCTTGTGCTTTGGTGATGAGAACAATGCCTGGCTTCAAGCTTTCCAATGTGACATTTAAACTTTCATTTTTAAGACTTTCCATTTTTTAAACTATATAGAAATATTTTATGGGGATTATGTTTAGCTAAATTTGTATATGTTCTGTATTTCAAGTTTAAACAACGTGATTTAAGTTGTATTTTTTTCTATCCTTACTTTTCATATTACTGGATTTTTTTTTTTAATACATGCAGAGTAAATGTTTTCACATATTAAAAAAATTATCTCACAATTTCATTGTTACATGGAAACTTTTAAAAAACACTGGAGGGCAAGAAACAGGAAAATACAAACTTACACATGCAGCTAATTTCGACATATTACATAATAATCCCCTTGCTCTTAAATACACTCACCGAGTAGCAGCGTAACAAAACCACTGAATGATACTGACATGTCTGAATTTACTTTTGGTTGGCTTTTTTCAATGCATGTGTTGTTGTTACAAGGAATTCTCCCAGATAAAAGGAGATTCCCAGTGCAAGAAGGAATCTTTTTGGTACATATTTTCATATGTGTAATTAACTGTTACAGGAGAGGTAATTGCTCTTATGTACTGCTAGAACTAAGGCAGCACATAATACTTCATGATATTGTTAAATACCTGCAAACCAGAGAACAAGCATATTTTAAACTTCCACAAAATCCAAACCTGTTTCCATGAAAATTGTATAAGGACTTCCAAAACATTTGGGTTTCACTTCCTGTCAGAAAATCTGACATTGATGGAATTTCCAGGAGTCAAAAGTCCATGAGTTTTGGCATGAACTGGTTCAGTTTTGGGAGAAATTTTGATTTCAAAATTCTGAAGTAGCTGTGAACATAAACAGGACAAGTATTAGAAAAACTTCAAAATTACCAATGAAGAGTAGCCTTTAAACCAGAGAACATAACAGACTGTCACAAGCAAAATTTCTGTTGCCAGTTTGGCAGCATTTAATTGCTACGATTCCCATCCAGGAAAAAAAATAAAAGAAGGTGTTAGAAGATAAAGATCATAGTTCAAATCTTCTTCCTCTGATGGAGGGAGGATTGAGAAAGTCCTTTCTGAAGGAATTCCACAGAACTAGATTAAACAGTCTGAACTATCCAAGAAACTAAGGTCTCTTCCAAACTTTGTGAGGTTCCCCTTTATCTATGTGCTTTGTATTTCACTTCCTTTAATATCAATCAATAAGTGAAATTATTGAGAAAGCTATAGGAATCCCAATCCCATCAGACTCATATTTCTGAATGAAGAATAACTCAGCTATCTACTTTTACACTTTCAAGAGGGAAATACTGCAACATCCTCAACTTTTCCTAATAATAAATCTCAAACACATTTTTCTATAAATTAAGTAATTTTCTCTTATTCTTTCTCTAGTATGACTGATAACCAATGTATTATTTTCCTATACATAACTACATTTTTCAGTGTCAGATGTCTGACTAAGCTTTTATGTAATTTTTCTCTTTGTAAAACCCCTCTTGTTATTATCTTTGTCTTCCAAATTTCCTTGAATTTGGCTATATTGTTCTTAAAATGCAGTGCATGGGCACGGCTGTTTATTGTTGCTTAGTGAGGATTCATCAGTATTTAGCAAGATTGAGTAATTTAGCTCCTCTTTCTGATCTACAAAATGCTTGCTAATGCTGCTAATATTATCTAGAATTACATTGCCTTTTCAGAATTGACTGATTTTTTACTATATCATTCCGGTCTGTTCCTATGGTACTAATATTACCCAGACAGTTGTTCATAAATTTGTATTTATGCATTTATTTCTTCTCAAGGGCACTAACTTCCAACTGTCATTAGTGAATAATTTTGTGTTGCTTTTGGAATATTTCTCCTTTTTTTTCAAAATTTTATATTCAGATCCCCTGATTTTAAATTAACTCATATCAGCTTGGTATCCCATGCAAACTGTAAAAGTATTCTCTAATCCATCCCTTACATTGTTAATGAAAATACAGCCTAAATCAAATGCAGGACAGACTTCTACAGAATTTTAATTTAATGCTTTCCCAGTTCAACAGCAATTATTCAATAGCTACTGCCTCCAGCTATTTTCTTTTTCCAACCAGCTGTGAATGCATTTTATGGGCACTTCCATCTGGAACAAATTTTATTAATTTAATTGAGAGAAAAACATACAGAACATGTGAAAATACTTCCTGAAATCAGACTACATGACTTACTTTATACCCCTACATGAGGTAAGTGATCAAGTCAAAGAAAGAAATCAGACTGGTCTGAAACAATTTCTCTTTGATGAGCTCCATGTGTTTCTAATTTTAACTCGCTTAAATATCATCTCTGTGTTTGTAAATAGGTTGTGTGCTGTTTTGCTCTAGTTTCTTTCCAGAAAACAAAGCAGGTTCTCCATTGTTTCCTTGAGCCTCATTTTAAAAAAGATTGTGTTTGTTTTATCAAGCCCCCTGGGAGCTCTCTCACTCCAAAAGACAGGCACTAATTGTTCAGAGATTGCTCTCTAAGTTCACTGAAGGAAATTCAAAGACAAATTCAATCAAGCTTTCCTTTGAATACATAAAATGGATCTAAATATTTTTATAGTTAAATAACTATAAATAGTAACCAAATCTTCACTATTTGATTGCACAATCTGTACTCATTATTTGAGCTATAGGCTGTCTTGTAAATTACAAAAAATGTAGTAGCTGTTGGGAATGTTTTCTTTATTATATGAACCAATCAAAAACAATATATCTCAATATATACTATTTATATAACTATAAATTATGTATATTTAAACTGATAATGAGTAAGAAGAAAGAACAAGAAGAGACAGAAAAGCCCAGAACATAGAAAAATTCTACTGTTTGTCATCACACTGTGATTAGTATAAGGATTTAAAACCCATTTTCCATCTTTGTAAGTTCTACATTCTTCTAACTAAAACACAGAAACTGAGCAGGTAACCATTCTAATATACATTAACAAAGATTTCTGATTTGCTTACAAAAGTCTCCTGTACCAAATCTATGTATTTCCTTACCAAACTTACCTTTAGTTTTACATCATATGTACCATACCATCTGCAATGTAGTTTAGGTACTATGCTACATTTCAAGCATGATTATTTTCAATTTTTTAAGTCTTTGCATCTTGAGTATATTAGACAACACTCCAAAACAAAGGTTTTGAGCACTGTAGGATACCCAGAAATAGCATACATTAAAAAAAAAAAAAAAAAAAAATTCACTTTCTTCTTGTAATTCTGTCACATAGTTCTAACCTGAATCAGTGCAAGATGGATTTCCAGCTCTGCAATTCTTTTTCCTATACAACTTCTAATGCCATAACCAAAGGGGATGGAGCCAAAGTTGTCTACTCTGTCCAAATTATCTTTCCTCAGCCAGCGCTCTGGTCGGAACTCATTTGCTGCTGAGAAATTTTCTTCACTGTATGAAGTAGCATAATGACAAAGTGCCAGCTGGGTCTGAGGAAATAAATGGTATTTATATTTAGCTAGCTCCAACACACAAAACAAAATTTAAAAGCATTTTCAATTACTGTAATTTCTGCAATAAGAGGTGATAAAAATTAAGCAACTTTGAGTAATTCTAAAGACAAAAGGATACCTCAAAAATCAAATCCCTTTCTCAATTGATCAAAGGAAATATTCTTCAAATTGTTTTCAATGTTGCTGCATATATTAGAGAAGATGCAATGGGGAAGGAGATGGGAAAAAGTCACAAGTATTGGGAATTGTTTTATGAAGTTGCTATGAGAAAAAGGGAGAAACTTTCCACAAAGGGAATTAACAGACATAGAATTAGAAAACTGCAAGAATAATGAAATTCATACTTTTTAAATTTAATTGTACCATTACACAGATATGTTATTAATAGACTCCACCATTAAGAATATTAAGAAGAAGTCATGATGATAAATTTCATTTGCTCATGAGGACCCAAATGAAAAAATATCAAAAGAACAGCAACGAGTCAATCATAAAATCTATTTGTGGCATATAAATGGGTATTACTAAAATAATTTCCTCTTAATGTTCTAGATTGGTGAAATCTTCTAAAATCAATGAAGTGTATATATGTTGGAGCAGATCATATTTCATTTGCAAAAATTCAACTGTTCTCTGCAGAGGACTGCAACAGAACCTACCCCTTTAGGTATCAAGTATCCTCCAATGATCAAGTCTTTTTGGGTCACTCTTCCATTTCCTGGCAATACTGGATATAACCTAGTGAGAAATATTTATCAGAAGTTGAACAGTAGTAACTAAAACCATTTAAAAAATGTTTAGATTCCAATTTGCATTCACAAATATGCAGGTTGAATGCCATATTCATTCACACTAAAAATGTTTTTCAGGAGTACAGAACACCTTGGAGCGTCAAAGACCTGGAATCATCTGTGAGAGTATGACCATCATCTGAGAAAAGTTATTTATTTGTAACTGAAGGTTGAGCTATTTGGTCTATGCATTTATTTGCTTTATACATGTACAAGCATGAAGGTAGGTGGTCAAGCTGGAGACATTTCAGCACTACTGCTAAAGCTGAAAAAGTCTTATTGATGCCTTCTCTAAAATCTTCTTACTCCCTTCACCTCATGGTGTATAAACCTCATTTAGTATAAAACACATTTTTAAAAAAGTATGTCACATGCCTTTAATTTAAATCAAAGAGCTTAAAATTATTGAAGTGGGACTGCAAAGTACCAGTGTGGGGGAGGAGGTTGTTACATTTTGTCATACAGACTAAAGGGAAAAATCAAGCTTTCAATTCCTTACCTTAACATACAAGTCCTACATATGTAATAACACTTCTACCAAACTAAGAAACATTAAACATTATATAATCTATCTTATTCATTGCTTGAGCATCCTTGGACACAATACTACTGAAATAAATAAAAGTAGAAGTAGCAAACTGCAGTAGCAACAAATGCTAAAATGGACTCAAAAAAATCATTAGAATAACATGGAATTAAATCTTTTAGTTGTCTGTTACTTACCTCAAGGTTTCTTTCAGAACAGCTCTAATCAAAGGCAATTTTGGGACATCACGAGCCACTGGAACTTGATCTTTTCTCAGTTTATTGACTATTTCCTCATAAACACGTTGCTGCACCTCTGGGTGCTTTGCCAACAAGTATATGGCCCAGGACAAAGTGAAAGAAGTCTAAAGAAAAACCACAATCATCAAGCCCAACAGGATTACATGAATAATAATTTTAAGCCAAGAAAAACAATCAGCTTTCAACTATGTGTTTTATATGTTTAAAGTTATGAAACAGGCTGGCAATGATTCACATCTGGATTCAATGGGAGGTTGCCAGACGTTGCCATCCCCTCCTTCATCCGTTTTCCATCTAGAAGTCCACCGCATACCAAAATAATCCCTGCTGATATTTTCCCAGTGAAATATAAAAAGCAACAGACAAACCAAATGCAAACCCAACTATGTAAACCATATTGAAACATAAATACTCTAAACAGCAATGAATTAAATTAGCCCTTAGTTTTCAATATGCATTTCACCTTTCCTTCCAACAAAAATACTTCACAGGAAACAAGGTAAGAAAATTCTTCTCAGAACACTTCCAACCCCTTTTAGGCATATGGTGGTCCCCTCATGGCATCCACACGACAGAATTGATATCATCACTGCTAAGATTATACTTTATTCTTTTGGTAAGCAATGCTACACCACTATAATTTAAAAATGTTCTGTGTGAAGAAGAAACAGAACATGAGGCAGGACACAGTTCAACTTTGAGCACAAGAGGATTTAAAGAAACACATCATCTAATCTTTTTTCACCACAGCTGAAAAAAAAAAAAATCAGTTTTTGGAAACATCTTATTTTGGTCTTAAGTTTAAGATCAATTTAGAATGCAAATTTATCATGATGGTGACTTTTATGTCTTGTCTTCAAACTGGGGTATAATGCTTGAAGTACCGTTCTCATAAGCTTTTCTTGATTTTCTTGCAATATTGAATGGCTGTGCCTTCTACAATGCAATCCAGTTCTATTCCACTCAGAGGAGCTGGCAATTGTGCCAGCTGTGTACAAATCTTCTCTGATATAAACAGTGTTCCTTCCCAGGTTCCCAGTTTCTTCATAACTTCTTAAAAAACAGGACTGTTCCAGCAACAGACAAAATGCTTTGTAGCCAACAACTGCCTCACAATTCAATTCTGTTGAAAGCTTTTATAATCCTCTAAATCTCTTTCAGTTTCTATGATAAAATGAGATCTGAATTGACAGCAGTAGGAAAAAAAAAGATTCCTTGAATTTTTGTTTTGTACTTGAAAATGGGGAAGTCAGAAGTATATTCCTCTCAGAAAAAGACTGTTGCTAGCTGAGAAAGCTGAGTCAAATGGAAAGGGAAATTCGTGTTGGCATGAACATTTTCCTTTTATTTTAATGAAAAATGTCACACACTAAATATGGAAAATTAATGGTCTGAAAGATTAGAAAATGAAGGGGATTGATAACTGTGTTTTACTTAAGAACCAACATCAAAAAGTTCTGCAACCTCATAAGCCCTTGGGACATTTAACCAATGGAGTAATATTCAGCACATAAAGAAGTTTTACATATGCTCCTTATTTTGGAATACAAAAGTGATTGCTGTTGGGGTTTCTTTTGTTTTCTTTAGAAACCTTACAAACTTTCTTAAGCCAAAAAAAAAAATCTGAATTAAATTATCCAGAGAATTTTTCTTTTCTTCAAGACCATTTTATTTTTTTTACTTATTTTAAAGTTTTCTACTAGGTAAGACTATTTAAGTCCTACCTAGCACTTCTTTATCAAATTAGTCTAATTTATTTTTAAAATTTGTTCAGTAACAATCACTTATAGTAGCAGTGTTTATTGTTATTCTAAACAACTCTGTATACATTGTACATACAATAACTCATCTTTCTTTTTCCTTATTCTTCCAATGATCATGCTGCAATCAGTACTGAGCTACACTGATTTCATATGCATGGCAAATCAGAAGAATAAAGAATGAGAGACACTTGAAACACTTGAATATGTTCCTAGGTGTAAACATATTGGATACAGCAGCCCCATTAATCCTGAGCCTTTAGCACAGCTCTCTGCCTCAGCCTGACCCTATGTTGCCAGCACAAGCATGGGTAGAATGAACTTATACCTTATCCCCATCATTGCTGGCCTAACATCCCCCCTCAATGGATTCCAGCAGAAAGCAGGTATCTGATCCATAATGTATGTCCCACTTGATTTAATTAGCCGTACATGAAAATCATTTATCAAACTCTACACATAAGTTTAATGGTCAATTTTTTCACACTAACTTTCAGCTAACCTTTCTATTGTGGTCTACTTAAAGTAGCACAAACACCAGCCTGCAAAGCAAACTAGTAAAAGAAAATGTATGAAATACAAGCTGAATATAAAGACAATTGCTATTTTATCTGTTTTAATAAACTGTGGAACAAACTCCCAAGTGGTGGGTTCCTGTAAACCACAGCTAGATCAGAACACTGATCTCATTCCAGTACAGGAAGTATTTTGTATCACTTTAAAGGCCTCATGGCTTAAATGTGTTAAAATTACATCCTTATGAGCAACATAACCCCCCTGAAGAGAGCTGCCAGTGACACTGGTGTACAAAAACAACTATGTACAAGAAAAATGGTAATAAGCTTACTGTGTCCACTCCTGCCAGAAGCATTTCAGTCATGTTGGCATAGATCTCTTCCAAAGTAAGTTCCTTACTCACTAGGAGGTGTGTAAGTAGCCCACCATTCACTACTTCTCCTTGGTCCAGCTGAGACTGAATAGCCTTCAATTTGTTGTCAACATGGATTTGACCTTTGGGATTCAAAAATATTGTTAAGCCTCCATTTTTATTTTTCTGCTGGTTCCATTCAGTAATCACATTTCTCACTTACACTACACTGCACATCCAGGATAAAAAAATCTGTTTTCTTAAGGAAAAACCCTCCTAGAGTGATGGTGGAGGTCCTTGGGTACTCATGGCATGGAAAGATTGAGCTGACAAGAACCTTGGTAGCTCACAGCATGAGAATGCTGAGCACAAAAAAAGAGACTTCAGTTCCCTTCCTTGAGGGAAGCCCGAAGCCAGGTTTTTATGCCCACCTGGCTTGTCACCTGCTGACTCTGCAAGAAGTGCAGCTGCAACTCAGCACACAGAGGCTGCTACAAGATGCTAGCAGCAACCAGAAGGTCAAAGCCACAGAACTTAATTACTTTGAAGAGAAAGATGAGGACCATCAAGTAATAACAAGAATACAAAAACTTCAGTGAATGACACACTGAGCAATTTCACCCACAGCTCCATGTATGCTCTAGTGACTGCAAACAGCATCTTTGGTCAAGCAAGGGATTCAAGAAGAAAAAAACTCCTCTGAAAGATAATGGCTCACAGAATGAGCTTTCAAAAAATGAAAATGCATGCAGCTTTCTAATATTTGAGAGAGAAAAAGGGTTCGAGTTTTTTTTTAACACTCAAGAACATTAAAAAAAAAATTGCAAAGACAACTCCTTCATCGTACTTACATGAAAAGTAGTTTGGAATGTTTCATTTACCAAAAAAACCCATATTGTAGTACATCAGTGTACTCCAATGTCAACTGACACACTTGTGTATATATATAAAAATAAACTTTACAAAGTTTTTAATTAATTGCCAGAGTCTAGTTTATTAACTTTCTAGTCAGTTTTAGTGGTGAATATGTCAAGGTGCTTAATTAAAATTTTGCTGAAGTCAACAAAACTACCCTTATTAAAATTGAAATGGCTTAAGATAAACCTTGGCAAGCACTTGGACTTGGAATGACAAGTGGGTGCTGAAACAGATGAAGATAAATAAGGAAAGAGCAGAATAAAATAGGGGAGTTTTGAAATGTTCTGTTAAAGTTTGTTTTCAGTAGAATATTTTTAAAACAGTTCCCCTGGCCAGTCTGCATTTAATATGAAACTTACTTCTGCCACAATGTCTTCTTATAATTTTAGAAGAGAAATGCAGCTTGTCCCGTTCAAACACACACAGAACCTGCAGAAATACAGCTGAACTTTTCTACTACTAAATCTTACTAAATTTGAAGAGTCCATCCCAGGATCTGCAGAACTCTCTCCAGGGTTTTGGAATAAGTGGACGAAGCCATTTGGGAATAGCACCTGCATACATAGTAGTCTTAAACATGCTAAACATCAATTCCAGAGCCTCAATATATTCAACAGTCTGCTGTGGGATGTTGTTTTCCAGGCAGCCCAGCCGGCATTCATACAGAATAGTCGCCACCCCTGCACACGAAAAAATGAAAGAATTGTCTATACACATGCATGAACACATATTAATAATGTAAGGAATTAACTAACATAAACTACTTTACAATAAATTTATTAATATTATCATTATTACTACTTCAGTTGGGGAACAGATATTCAAAACACAGTAAAATTGCCTAGCTAAACATTGCAGCTAGAGAGTAGTTGCTATGTCAATAATGCTCAGATGAGAAGACAGCCAGGAATTCCAGCAGAAGTAGAGCAGCCTCCAGCCTGTTTGCTGTGTTTTGCACTGTTAACCCTGAGCCTGCCCTGTTGGCCTCTGAACACCTAGGGACACACGAGTCCAAAGGCATTTCTGATAATTGGTGACAATGGAGGAGTTTCTACCACTGGCTGTGTCTGTCATCAGCTGGTAACAAATGAATTCTGAGTCTGTATAAATGGATAAAAAGCTTGCACTCCAGCCAGTGCTTTTGCTGCACACACCATTCTCCACCCGGCCCTAAACACCAGCAAGTGTGACACTGCTGCAAGTGACAATGTTGACTGTCTCTTGTTCTGACTTGCTGTAATTTTCATAGATCTTTTTCTGCAGTTCTGCAGGCACCCCCACCAGACATTATCTTTACTGACAAAAATATTTTTAAAAATTGGTTATTTTCAACTCACTCTTCCTTTCCTAATTTTCCTCCCTCAGAAGATATTTTTTCTGCATCTTTTATTTCTTTTGTGCCTCTTTCAGAAACTGCTAGTTCTTATACATCCTCTCACTGCTTACATGGTCCCTTCAAAGAAATCTTACGTATTGGTTCTCTAAACAGTTACAGTGCAAGTTAAATAAACAGCAAGTCATATAGGAAATAAGTGTGTGCCAGGCACAAGTTATAAAGTAAAACAAAAAGAATGTGAGGAATTTAAACTAACCATCAGTTACAGTGAATCTGTAAGCTCACAGTTTGAAATTCCATAAACTGGTAGTTAAATGCCATTTTTAGACACTATTAATGTGAAACAGACCAAGCAGAGCAATTTGACACGAAGTGAGCAATCTGGATATTCTTCAAATCCCAAATTACTCAGCTGCCTGTCAGCAAAGAGTACCAATGTTTTTAAAAGGCATTACATATAACAAGATGGGGTTGTTTGCAGTTAGTTAAAGAAATGCATGAAATATGTAGCACCATGAGATTTCTGTAAGAACATAGGAAATGCCATACAGGCTCAGGCCAGGGTTTCATTCAGCATTCCCTCATTAATGGTAGCCAGTAGCAGATGATCTTAAGGCTATCAAAACAATCCCATACTTGGTATGTGTAGGCAGGGAAAAGCAGTATTTTTTCCCACATTAAGCTATCAAATTAATTTAGATACATCACATGGAGATTCAATTGGAGTTTGGCTGGTATATTGTGAAATTAACATGTCTTAGAAGTCCCTTGTTAGAAAGTCAGCACCCTTATTCTTGAGAAATTAATATAGAAATACAGAGCACTGAGTCTGTTCAAGACCTTGATTGAACATTTTACCTGTACACCAGCATTTCCATGGGAATTGCTCTTTACTCTAAGGACTCTAGAAAGGATTTCTACTGATATCCACTGCACTAACTAGGAAGACATATAAATGCAGAATATCAATATCAGAATTCAGATTAATCACATCAGGGCACAGTCATTCGACAACCACACTGCTTTACATCCATTTTATTTACAGAACCAGCCTGGGCTTACCTTCCATCGAATACTTGAAGAAAAGGTTGTTAACATTGGTCACTGTTTCCCCATCCTCCTCCTGACTTCTGAGGGTGTGGATTCTTTTAATTAAGTCTGTGATAACTTCATTGACTCCTTCAGAGTAAACAGCCACGTCTTTGGGTTTCAGAATTTTTTGCCTCAGAACACTTCTCATTTTTAGCCACTGCTCCCCCTCCCTAGAAGAAATTATTAATAATGTCAATACATGATTTTCCTTAACAGTCATCAGCTGGGTAAGAGCTCTGCATCCAAACTGCAATTTTTCATGTCAAATGGTAAAATGAAAATTATGATAATGTATATTTTGTATTATGCTCCTACAATTTTATTCTGTATTTATTGCATGTCCTCATTAAATTTCAGTGCTGCAACATGTATCTTAACCTCTGGGTTGAGTGACAGAATTTGCCCACTCAGTGATCTGAATCAGTGTCCCTATGTGAGTCTGTTAGTAGTAGATAATGCAAGAAATTAGTAAAATATTCTATTAAAATTACTTTAAATAAACATTCAAATGGGTAGTCTGCAAAACTGCCTTTCCAGAGAACCAGTACTTAATTACCAAATAAAGGTCTCACATTCACATCTGACAAACCAGCAACTCGAGCTGGTACCATTACTGATACATCGCTTTCAGCTATCCCAGTTCTAAACTTACAAAGCAATAAAAGAGCAGAGCTACCTGTAAAGAAAAAACTTACAGCTACACATTCTGCTTTAGCTGAGCTATGCATGGAAACCTCGATGCTGAAGACTAAAAATCTGAACTGTCGTATCTACACGCTCTGTATGAGCAGAGTATATGGGAACAGTGCTTCCAGGGATGCCTTTCAATTCCTTATGAATATGGGCAATTATAAATATGTATTTATTTTATAAATAAATAAATGAAACAAACATTAATGAATTAAACAAGATGTGTTCATTTAAATAAATAAACACATTTTATATTTCATGTGTTACTTTTTTTACCCAGAGCAATGCCATTGCAAGGCACAGAAATTTATCATCCAGCAGAAGAATTTGATCTCTTTAACAGATATTTCCTGAGTCTCCTGAGTTAAGATCTCTTCTCACTAAATATCAAGGAATTGGTAGTTTGAATCTCAACTGCAGCTTAAGATTTAAGTCTGAAGTGCAGTACATGGAGCCTTTTGCTACCATGCAAAAACAGACTGTCCATGACTCAGGAAATTAATTTCCCTCTAAATAAACATCCTATGTCAGTGGGGACCGTGAGTAGTTCCCAGTGGCAACTAACCACACCCACATGCGCTGCCAGGTTATGCAAGCTGTACAGACAGATAGCTCCTCTGGAATCAGCCAGACTCAAAAATATCTGTGTGGGGATGCACTACAGTGTGAACTGACCATTCCTTACATTAGTCTACTGAGGGGGCACTTCAGTGAACAATAGCTAAAACAAATCTGAGCCAACAATTCCACACAGCACACTGCCTGCTAGGTAGAACAGTCTAGAACTGATGCAATAAACCCTCATTCATGCAGTGCAGTGCCAAAGTTAGTGAGCTCTATTCTGTAAAACTGCTTGCAGGTAAGTGAGCCAGCTCAGACAGCTCCTGTTGATCCACAGAATGTCTTCATGCAAAGTAGCTCACTGCACATTCAACTACACATCATTACCATCCCTTTGAAACTTCACAGCAGAACAAATTCACAGCATTCACCATAAATACCTACTCCCTTTTCCCATTAGACACACAAATTTCCCCACACAGAAAAGCCTGATTTCCCAGATGACCTTTACAGTCCTTCAGAAAATCACTAAACTTACACAGGAAAAGCAGGAAAATGAAGGACTGACAACACTTACGCAGAAATGAGCCCCGTGGCTCTCCCCCGTAAATCTCTGTACTCCTGCCAGGATTCCATGTTGGCTCTTTGTGGTGCTCTGCCTTCTGCTCGGAGCACTTGAGCAACCATGTCTCGATCTGCAATGGATACAACAAACTGGGGACCAAAGTGAGACTTGAAGATCTTTCCATATTCCTGAGTGTGTTTTTGCTACAGCATCACCAACAAAGAGAAACAGAAGTCAAGTATTACTAAGGAAAACTATCACAAAAGGAAACTGACAATTTGTCATACACAAACTCTCACATCAAGAATTTGATCCCCAGCCTTCCAGTCAAAGAACAGTTTGAAGTGGCAGGAGAAGCATCTAAGCATTACTGTGAAATATTCACAAGGAAAACAGAGAGGTCACACAGTTCAGGACCCTGACTGAAAAGACCCAAAGCTCTAAGGCACAGAGTGGGAGTGAAACCAAACACTGAGAAGATGAAAGGACTTCAAAACACGTCCCTTCAGATCAAACAGGTTAGAAAGAATGTCTGCAAAAATGAAAAACTTGGAAGCATATAGGGTTAAATTACCAGTATAATACAAAGATATAATTTAATACAATTTGTGAATAACTGCTTCCTCTACCACTTAATTGCTTATAAAGAAGCTATGTATAAGTTTCTCACACCTAACCAAGAATAATGAACAGCACAATAGCGTAGTGAAAAAAATCTGCATTTTGGAACAGATTTGTCAGCAGTGAACTTGAGAGAGACATAAGCTAATTCTGAAAAAGAAAGGAAAAGGTGGGATCTTATCCTTGCAGTCAGGTTTATTGAGTAGTTGATCCAGAAATTGTGTGATTCAGGCTGGAGGCAAATGAGAGGAATGGAAATTAATAAAGAGAATTGGAAAAAAATTAAGGTGTGTATATATATAAAAACAAACAAAAGCAACCCAAAAATTTTCCAGTAAGGTTACACTGTCACTGTCCCATGAAATCTTACTGATTATTTCAAATAAATTTCACTCTGACATGGTCACAAAGTGAAAATCTCAACTCTTACAAATTCCCTTGGATTTGAGGTACATCCTCATTTCAGAGGGGGGAAAACCCAGCAAAACTGCAAAGCAGTTATTTAAAAAATCTTATTAAGACTTTGAAAATCAATTTTAAAGCCTTTACTTCTGGTTCAAGTATTAAGACAAGTTAAACTGACCAAAGTTTAACTTTGACACATTACCTACATTCCAATCCAAAGACATCTGCACACAGAGTTATGCTGATTATAAACCAAAGATGCTTGACACCAATTGCACTTGTGAAAGTCTAGTATCGACCCAAAATTAACTTATGTGAAATATATTTTATTCAATCTTAGTTACAGAAATTAATTGTTTAATTGCCAACAATAAGTTTAAGACACATGAATCACTCTTCAGAATATGATACAAAGTACACTTAAAAAAATGTAATTCTTTTTGTCTGGTTTCCAAATAAAACATGAGTTGTGCAATTGTGGTCTCTGCCAGTCACCTCTTAACTACTTTTGGAACACAATTTGGCCAATTTCAGTTGAAGTTCTATAGGTCTCTCACAACAATATTCTTACCATTTTCAAAAATCAGCATCTGGATTCTTATGAGACACATGTATTAGTCATCCTGATGAGGGAAATGCTACAGCAGGAACTCAGTTGTCATTTCTGCCTGGTCTGCTCCTAACCAACACCACAGACAGAGCAGTGTATGAACAAGCACTCCCCAAACCCAATGTATCTCTTGCCTTTGAAATACTTTAGGGATACTGAACTTGGAGATAATGACTTTGAGAGTGTCTTGAAAGGAAAGCACGAGTTGGGAAAGAAGTATGGCAAGAAAAAAATCAGTGGAGTGAGGGGAATACAGGACACCAGTCACAGAAAAACAAGTTGAACAAATTTTGGTATTTATGGAGCAGTTTATTTTTTCAGTGATGGCGAGGTTTACATGGGACAACAAACTTCAACAGAAAATAAATCAAGTGACAAGCTATCCAATCAAATAAATTGAATACTAGTTTTAAACCAGAAATGGACAGGGACAAAGTATTTGGATATCCCTTTCTTTCAATAGACTGAACACCATTCTATCAACTTCATGCATTAAAAAAAATGCCCAGGATTTCTATTTCCATATTTTCTATCACAACATGGGTTTTTTCTTTCCCTTGTTCCAAACCTTGAAAATGTTTCACTCTAGTGCCTCACATACCCCCCTCACACCAGTCATTCTTTCACACATCATAAATTCAAACTGCCAGCATCCGAATCCCTCCTTCTTCACCTTTATTTTCTTTATCCTTGCATAGCACTGATGAGAAAAAAGAGATCCAACCCCACCAAATTAAAAATACTTTCCTTTTGTCATGATTGCTGTAGGCATTACTACTTTGGCCAGGACTAACTGGAATCATGTTACTGAGAACAGAACCTCCTTTGTGAAAAAGCGCTCAGCTTCTCCACCCCTTCTGCATATAGCACACAAATATTTGTGTGCACCAAAGGACATCGTTTAAGTAGCTGTGCTGTTTACCAAAGGGTTTGGGATTAATTCATTCCTGGTGTTCACTGTATTGTTAAATTTATCAGACTGTTAAATTTAATGCCTACTTATATTTGACATGTAGGCAAACAGGGCATCCTGTGATTCTTCAGACTCTAAGCAGAATAAAAACTAGCATTATATTGCAACTTCTCCTTATTCTTCCTCACACTTTTCTTTCTAGGAATAGTATTCACTAAAGAAGAAAATACCCATATCAGCTAAAGGTAGCAAAAATTATATACTATTTAGGATATCTTATATTCTTTTTAATATTTCATTTAATAATTTGTTTTGACAGTGAAAGAACTTGAAACCAATGGTAGCATCTTTTTTAGTGTTATGAAACTATGATGAGTACCTCCCAAATTCTGTACACCACCACAGAGGTTAGAGGAAAAAAAGAAACAGAATGAAACAAAGAGCTTTAGTTGTCCTCAACTTTCATGTGCATGTCTTAGTTAGCAAGCAATCAAGCTGAGCAATTCATCATTAGCAATCTAGTTTGACTGACATGGAATAGAGCATACATCCTAACATTTCTTCTTAAAAATTTAAATGGTAAATATAAGAAAGCTGGACAAAAATAAGCAATTTATGTGATTTTTTTTTCCCGTGTCCTGCCTTTTCCTCTGTTTTTAGGCCCTTTGTAAACCTTAACTTTCAAGTTTTGATTCTAATACCATTTAAAGTTCGGTTTTCTTTACTTTCCCTTTTCTATTTTTATTTCCCTTTCTCTGTCTTCATTTTTTCCTGAAATTTCAGTAATTTTCAGGCAGAACACCTCTTGGGGCTAACTGTGAATTTCTTCCTAGAGATTTAGGAAAGGTCACTAAGAAAAGCAAAATAATATATGCCCCATTTGAGGTATTCACAACGAGATATGTACTGCCGGTGGAAATCTTATGGATGCACAGCTGCAAAAGAGTGAAACACGCAGCTTTATTCCCTTATATACAAAGCGCTTCCTTCAGAATCGCTTGGACTACACGGGGAAAGGGCCTCAGGAGATGCGCTGTGACTTTTTAGGAATGAAACCCACATGTTTGGCCAAGCAACCAAAACAATTCATCTCTGGATAGCGACAGCCTTACGGTAACGAGTGCTGCCCGCGCCAGCATCCCCGAGGCGCTGCAGAGATCCTCGCTGAGGGATAACGCGCCTCACGCCCTCACCAGGTGCGCCCGACGGAGCGGCCCCGCCGCTGGGGAGAGGTGCCCGGGACGCTGCTCAAGCCCCACCCGTGCTCTGGTTCGCCTGACCGCCTCTCCCGCTCCAGAACCACCGCATGCCAGGTGACAGGAGCCGCTCTCCGCCCGCCCTCGCTCCTTCCCTCCCCTCCCCTCACGCCGCCATCCGGCCCCGCTTCCCGCCACCCGCTCCCCTCCCCCGCGCCCATGTGGCGGCCGGGCCGGCCGCGCCAGTCGCGGCCGCTGGCGGGGCAGGGCCTCGCCCCCCCGGCGCGTTCGAACCGCCCGCCTCCCGCCGGGGGGACGGGGGCGGCGCTGACGGCAGCGGGGCCCGGCGCATCTACCGCTCCCTCAGGGCACCGGGGTAGGCAGAGTGTATTTATGTAAGGGGAGGCCGGCGTAGGAGACACAAAATGGTCTCTGAGCGCGGGGAGCAGCGCCGGGCCGCGCTGAGGGAAGGGCAGCGGCGGAGGTGCCTCGGCCGCCGGCGCAGCCTCACCGCACGGTGGGCGCTGCGGGATAAGAGTCCGGGGAAGCCCACGTTTGCCAGCCCTGCCCGCCAAAAATGAGGCTTGTGAAACAGCTCAGTTTGGAAAAAAAAAAAAAAATTAAAAAAAAAGGTGTTCTTTTTTTCTCGAAACGCGCACAAAGATGCGCGGGGAGCGCTGGCGGGCGCCGGGGCACCGGGAGCCGGGATCGTGGGATCCCCCGCGAAACAAAACTGCCGGAGCCTCCGGTGCTGCGGGAACTGGAGCGGGGATCCCCCGAAACCCGGCTCTCCCCAGCGGGAAGGCGGCGCGGCGGTGCCCAGCTGCGGTGCTGCTAGCCCGGCGATTCCCCAGCGCTTTAGCAGGGGAGGAAAGGAAAGGTTAAGTAATGCTGGCGTGATTAAAGCGTTAAGTACCCGAGGGAACTGTACCTGGATTTCATGGATGCGGCCGAAGCCGTCCTTCCAAAAGAACTCGTAGAGGTTGTAGAGGGTGTTGGGGCCGGGCATTTCGTGCAGGCTCTTCACCCTGCCCAGGCGGCGCGGGGGGGGCTGCAGCAGCTCGGCTCCGCGCCCCTCGCCTTTGTTCCCCGCCGCTGCCCGCGGGCTGCTCCGCACCTCCAGCGGCTGGCTGCTGCACGGCCGCGGCTGCCCGGGAAACCTGCTGCTGGCCAGAAGCGCCTGGTAAAAGTAAGTCCTCTCACATTCAAGTGTCTGCTTGCATTTCATCGTCAAAACTCTGGTGAAGAAAGACATGCCTTTTAATTTCAGAAGGGTCCACTTTGCTCCTGCAGCTGCTTTTTATTTGGTTGCTCTTTCTTCAGTGCCTGCTTTAACTTGTACAAGCAGCACTTCTCCAAACTCTTACTGCATGAGCATCAGTTTACACAGACCATTATTTAACGCTCCCTCCCCTAGGGCTGGAAAAGGGGGGTGGGTCTGGGATGAGACTTGAATAGAACGAACCTATTATTTTGTATAATTCAAATCAGATAAATTTACCCATTATACGTGCAAAGTCCAGTTTTTGCCTCTTTCACCCATTAGTTTAGTGAAATCTCACCCCATCTTTCTCCTGTTTAAGAAAAAAAAACAGGATTAAGCGTATTTTTTGGTGTGCGGCATTAATTCATTCCCCTGTGCTAGAAAATAGTGTTTTTTCTGCAATAAGTTCTCTCAGAATCGTTGATTATCCTGTAAGGTATATGAAAAACATTTGTGCATCCATATATAAGTAGCACTGGTCTTACATAGTAACCTTCCTTACCTTACACAAAAAAATTCATGCAAATTACAATATTCAGAGATGTTATTTGTATTGCAGAATGATTTATCTTTTGGACAGGATATACTGCATAAGCAGTTTGTGTCAACTTTTGTAGAAATCTGCACAGTTTAAAAAGTATTTGTGTTATTTTCATATGTATTTCTATGTAATTCCAAAAGTGTTAGTGATTATCTGTAAAAAGTTGATTCAGTTCTGAAATGACACTAGAAGACACTATCTTTTAAGTGAGTCAGACACTCGGATAAAAGCTGAGGACAGAGGAAAGTCTCAAGGAAGATCCACATTTCTAGAACAGAATTATGAATAAACTGCTGGAAAAGCAAATCTAGTAAGCGTGAAAATTATTAGCTTTTGTTTTCCTTATTTATCTTCACTAAGATTTTTTGAGGCTGTATTCTGATTAAGCTCTGTGTGCATGCTTACTTTGGGCACTGATAACTCCACTGAAACAAATAACTCTGAAGTTAGACAGGCACATCAGTCTTTATGGATACAGCAGTAAATATAACAGGAATAAAATTTGTTAAAGTACATGCTGGTTTAAGCTAAAATCATGTCTTTGAAATGGACTTCATCATACTTGAAAGGGTCCAGAGAAGACCAACAGGAAAAAGAAATGAGAAGGTTTTTAAAAACTATGTAAGAAGGTTCAGACTTATTTCATCTGAGAAAGATTACTACTACAACCATGACAACAGCCTACAGATGTGTACATCTTTTGTTAAAAAAAGGTGCATGTCAGAGAAGAAAGAAAATTATAGGCTTAGTTTGCAGCTACAGATTTCTTGATTACTTTTTCAGGTAGCCTCTGTACCTCACAAGGCAGGACATTACATCCTTGCTATCACTGAGCTTTGCAAGAACAGGTTTGAGAACCTCATCACGGAACCTCTGAAGTTCTTCTTCCTACACTTCTGTGTAGTGTAGCTACATTATTTCTTTCATATATATCTAAGGATGCTTGGAGAGAGACAGTTACACAGATTTTTAAATTATATTAACGTTGTAATTTCTAGATTGATGGAGGGAATTTGTGCACCCTTCCTAGAAACTTCTGCTCACAGCTATCAGTATGGTTGATTTTTTTTTTTTTTTTAGTTTGAAATCATACATGATTAAGGTAAAGCATCTACTGGTATTAATATGCTAGTGAGATAAACTTCGATATATTATGCTGTAAAGGTTACAGTTTTGCAACTGGTAGTAGCTTTCTCTGAGTGCACCTTTTTCCAGTTTCCATATATGGAATACTCCATTATTTTCCCCCATTACCCTTTTTCCATGAAAATCATTGTAGGACATTTTTTTTTTTTAGCCACTTGAAAAAGCTTCAGAAGCTTTATCCTTTAAATGCTTCACTAGAAGAGTACCTGCTTTCCTTCTCAGGAATTTTTGGAGGTGGCAGTAGTCCCAACATATGAACTAAGTGTTGTATAACCCCACCTACAATCAGTTTCTTCTCAGAAGCTTCCTTTTTGAAGAAGAAACTTTCTTCTTCAAACAGAGTTCTGTTTGTTTGCAATAAAATGGTCTAAAACACAGAAACTATTTTAAAAACATGTAAACACTCAGAGAATCTTCAATTTCAGTGAAACAGGGAGCTCACCTGGTGCAGCCCATAAAACAGCTGCAGACCTTCAGATCTCATTACTGGCAAACCTCAGCAAAATTTCTAATACCAGTCAAACATTCTGTGATTACTGGCTATCAAGTTTATATATGCAGCTTATACAATTAAATTAGAGCCAAATTCATTAAAAGATGCTAGCAATCCATTGTGCTACAGCTCCTGAGGAATTGGATGGATTCTCTGCTGTCTGTATAGACTGTTGTTGAGTTTTAATATGACACTCAGCAGTGTGAGGTCTGAAACACTTTATTTCATAAGTTATGTACAGATGTTTATTTTTTTAAAAATCACAAAATATTACAGAAAACCTAAAATAAAAATCCCAAACTCCCACCAAAAAACAACCCCAACATATAAAATTAATTTTGAATAGGATTTTATATTTGGTCTGGTTTTAAAGAAAGAGTGGAACATGCCATTTGAGAAGAGTCCTGACCCAGGAGTATCTGAGACACCTCCATTACTGCTTACCATCTTGTAATTTTACTACAAGGAGACATCAGTGTTCAATAAGCAAAGCCAAAACCACACCTTCCTGAAGAATTTCCAGAGTACATTATAGGCAATGGCAGAGCGTAACAAAGAAATAAATTAAGAAAACACGAAGTGGCAATGCATTAATGATGAAAATTGCAAAATTTCTTTGATATAACAGAAGGATCTAAAGGGGTGTAAAGATGCCATTATGCAAATCTGAATAGAGCACCTTCCTTGCACAAAAGGAGATTAATAGATTCACATCCACAGAAATTGATTTTTTGTAGTGCAGGTGGTGCTCAGAGGTAAGTCTGATGACCAGTGGGCCAAAAATATTTATAAGTAATAGATATTTCTAGGCAGTTTGCCAGAGGGAGTAGAAATTCAGAGCCACTAACAGATGCAGCTCTGGTGCACTATTAAAACCTTGCTCTACAGTAATCATCATTAATACCATAGCAACCCATCAGTGCAGCTACTAGCTTCTTTTTCTATATAAACTGCAAAAAAAGAACACTCCAGACAACAAAAGCCAAATTGTAAGGTGGTGCAAGAGCTGAATACAGGAAGGGAATGTTTATGAATGTGAGAGAATACATGTGGGCTACCACAACACGGAATGTGTAATTAAACCATTCACTCCTCTTTGCTGTGCCAGATCATAATTGTGTGGTTCTGTTTGACTTTCAAATTAAGAGTTTTAGTGTACATATGTGCCGCTAATGTTCCTGCTTTACTGACACACTTCACATCCTTACTACTGCAGAATCTGAGTTGGAGGTCAAACTTGCAAACTGCAAGAATGTTCAGTAGCCAACATTACGAGTAAACACCAAAATTCATGAGACAAGAGACAAATGAAACTGAAGTAAGTTTCCTGGAATAGACTTGAAAAAGAGAAAGGAAGAGTAAAGGAATGGAACCAACAAACACTTCAAAAAGCAGCAGAGGGTTAAAGGTTTAGAGGGCAACTTAAAGTGATGGAGGGGTTGGCATTGTGTGGTCCCATTTTCCTCCCAAATATGAATACAGACTTGTCTCAGGTAACAGAAAGAGTAGTGCCACAATTCCCAGGAATAATGGTGAGTATAGTAGCCATTACACAAAACCTCCTTCCAATTCCACATAAGCCACCAAACCATAAAGAAGGGAGGAGTTATACCATCACCACAAACCTACCAAAACACATTTATGTGACTTAAAAGATAAATATTTTCTCCTACTTGTACAACCTACCATTATATATAGTTATCAGACATCTTAACACTGACTCAGAAACACACTCAGAGTTCTTTAAATTTAAACAATGACGTTTGTCCTAGCCTGTTGGTCCTCGGAGCCTGAAAATATGTTTTATGTAACAAGTCAGTTGGGACTTTTGTTATTTCAAACAAGTTGGAGCACATGCCCCCTCACAGCAGACATGTTTCAGTTTTAGTTAACTTTTGCTATGTAACGGGATCACAGTATAAATTAAACTTGGTTTATTGATAATTTAGATTATGTATTATTTTTGGATAATTTGTCTTCAAACCCACAGTCCTGCTGTTCTCTCTGTCTAGACCCCCCAATGGTCTGATTAACTGTACTTTGTTACCTTTGTTCAGTTATTCCTAAATTCAATTTAAACTTGCCCTCCTCTTTGCACGAACTCTGACCAAGTTCAGTCAAAGCTCTTTGTGCCAATAACACTGGTATTCAGTCAGTGGTTACATTATCATCTTACCAGGAATTCTGTTTTCTTAGAATTATTCTCACCTTTTAACAGTCTTGGCTATATCTGGTTTGTAATTATTTGAACATAATTTTATGATAGCCAGTATAATAAATACTGTACTGTGTATTTTACATAACTGTTGAAATAGCTACAAATATAAATAATTTATAAGTATAATTTATGGACACAGAAGAGATTTGATAGGAGGCATTTAACTTTGCTCAAATAACACTTTCAGCTAAGACTGCAGAGATACGCTCTTCTGTACATTTGCAAAGAAAAGCTGAAAAAGGGCTGCAATGTCAGAAATGTAAGCAAAAAAAAAAAATCAGTGTAGCTTAAAACCTTTTAACTGAAAAAACCATACAGTTAACCATAATTTTTTGCCTTTTCTGACTGTCCTCAAACCCATCATCTGAAAGATTCTTTCAAGTTGTGAAGTATAAATGTTTTCTAAAGCATGTTTGAATTTTAAATGCTTTCTAAATTCCTGTTTATTCCTGAAAACGGGATAAATTTGAACTTCAACAGGCTAAATACTAATAGAAGATTGTTCAAAAAGAAGGCATTTAAATCAGAACAAGAAGCCAATGCTGCTGTGACTTAGTATTCAGCCCTTGATAAAAAAACCCATGAATCAACTGTAAAGAATCCAGTTCTACTTGCAGACTTCTTACAGATTTAGATCCTTGCCCTGTGCCTCCTAGGGCATATGGCACTAATTGCCTTGAAGTCCAGTGCTTTCAAACACATAGAGGAAAGCATGGTATTACAAAAAATGACCATCAGGAGGGCATACGGAGACGAGACATAGAAACTGGCTGCAGTTTGGTGCTTTGGTGAGCTGTCAAGCTGTGAAATTAAATTACCACCCCATCAGCACTGCACTTTTAGTCTAGAATGCCATTTTAATGAGTAACAGCAGCACCTTTTGAGCATTAACAGCTTCATATGGACATTTGCTGGTTTGCCACAAAAAGGAAGGGCACATAAACACAAGCTTCAGTATTGAAGCCCATCAGAAACACAAATATTAAAAAAAGACAATTTGGAATTCAAACCAAGGTGGGGGCCAGGGAGCAGGGACCAGCAAAGAAACCTGAATGACAGCCAAGAAAATCACACCTCCTCTATCCAGAGATTGATTTCCAAGAAATAATTTACTTACCCCTGAGTTCACCTGCTTCTGGCATCAGTCATAATCTGAATCACACTTCTGCCACACTGTCTGTTCTTTAGTGGACAATTTAGTTTCCTAGAGGGCTGGGATTACAGATCTGGAGCTGTCTACTGTGAACCTCGGATGCATTGCCAGAGTGCAGGGGTAGTGAGGGGCCAGCAGGACAGAAGCCCCAGGAGCCAGCAGCTCCTGAATGACTGACCTACGTTATGGTCCAGGTGCTGCCACCTGCAGCAGCAGCTCAGCTGAAGTGAGTAAATGCACCGGTCTGCCACTTGCTGCCACAGCCTGGAGTAACAGCAGGCAGTAATTACTGCACTTAATCTTATCAACATAATGGATTCTAAAGTTTGAATACCAAGATGCTATCGCTGATGCATGGAGTCATTCATGCCTTGTAAACTCACTCTGCTTTACTTGATGCTGAATGTATTGCATCCCACACAGACATTACTTAAAGGAGTGAGATCATTAGTCACGATTTACTACACATGAACTACAGCAATTCTAAACCCAGCTACTACTAGTGATTCCACAATTACAGGAATCAGTATTGAGCCATTTGCATTTAGTAGGTTGTTGTGAGTTTTTTCAAGTTTATGAAGGGTGGAGAGTAGTTTCAAAGCAATTCATGAGCCTTTTAAAAGAGAATTATGCAGAGGAACACTGCCTGACTTGCTCAGCTAAACCTCAGTCACAGGCCCCTCCCATTATACTAAATTACCATTTTGGTACTAACTGTAGCCATTAGAGCTGGTCCAAACTACTATCAGAAGTAAACAGTGCTTTAAACAGGGGAGAGGAAATCAGCACCAGAATACTGCACAATTATCTCTTCTGTATATGCCACTCCAGCACTGCCATGGCTGGTTCCAGGTTGTGCAGCAGAAGACTCACACAAGATAAAGAATCAAGTGTTACAGGGTAGGGCTCAGAGCCTAAACAAAGTTTAAACTGAGGCAGATCAGTTCCCTTTTTAAAAATTACCTGATTCTGATACAGAGACCAAAACCAAGCACCATCTGTTCTCAATTATTAAATGCTTCCAATATTTCTACATTCTCAATTTGTGAATTCATGCTAACAAGAAACAGAATTCAATATTCTTCTGAAGCATATTTGTCATACAACCAGAATAGCTGTACCATGCACGCTCCTTCCAGTATGGTAAACCTTTATATCAACCTATTTTCAACCAACAGAGGCTGTTCCTAAAGCTCTACAAACAACCAGCAAAATAACACCTCTAAATACAACACTAAGTAGTGTTATCAAGTAGGTGCTACTTAAAAAGCATTCTTCTGCCACAAACCACCAGCATTTCCCTATTGTTTTCTAGAATTATAACAGTTCATTAAAAAAAGGAAACTCGGTAATCTTTCTTTCACACATTCTTCCAACTCACCTTGTGAGAAGTCAAAATGCTTTTTGATTTAATAATAACCTCTGTGGTGACAGTGCACTGTTAGCAGTTATGAAGGTTTTATTGCATGGTTAATAAATAGAATATAAATAAAAGAGAAACAGCTTTTATTTGAGCAACTTCTCAACAGTAGCAAGAAAAATTAGGAAAACAAGCACAGAATTCATTTGTATTAACTTCTAAAGCTTTCCTTGAGTCTACTTTGGAGACAGAGTCTCTTTTTCTTCTTGTCTTCAAACTCTGAAGTATTTCTGACCTATCTGCTAGAATTTTAATACAGGTAAAGTCACGAGT